AAGGGTTGTGTACCGTACCGTGTCTTAAGAACAAATCCGCTAAAAGATATTCCAACTCCTGCAATCAATCGGCCGCGTTGCCAGGGGAAAAAAAACAAGTTGTCATTTTATAACCACTGCTTGAGTCAAAAAGAGGCAAAACCTAGAAGTACACTCGTTCTACATCATACCCCGATCAATGATGGACAAATCAGCAGCTACAGTAGCAAGAACGCTGATGCCTATAATGTGTAAACAGGTTACACAAACTGACCAAGGGACCGAATATGTCAATTATATTCTGTCAAAAATCATTACACAAACGCCAACACAACACCTAATCTCTCGACCATACCAACCTAAAGTCTTAGGCGCAAACGAACGAGCACACAGAAATCTTATGCCACTGCTGTGCAACCAACATATCAACATATCAAGAACAATTTCGTGCAGTATTTGACCGCAGGTTCCAAAGGCAATATCTGAGCTTCAATGCAAGTGATTTAATCATGCTCCGTTACCAAGAAAATGAACAAAAGACAGCGCCATGTATACGATACAAAGTTGTCAGCAAAAAAGGCAACGGAAACATTGTGCAACCTTGACGGAACAAAATCCCCGGAATATACCAATTAATTAGCGATAAGCTCATAGGATTGTTCAAAGCAGCCTCAGATGGAGAATACTTCACTCCCAACAACCAAACACCGCTTATAGTAGAGGTAAAATTCACCTCCATCTAGGTCGAGTAACAATGTTGAAATGTTTTTTTTCCAAGCGGGTGTTGTTCCTGTAACAGGATCAGCACATTCGTTCATCTGTGTTTGTACCCATCTAAGATTGTAAGACCAATTTTCTGCATTGTCCGCTGGTGCAATACGCGAGAACTTAAGCTTTCTATGGCGCGTTTCATTTGCGCCTTGCGATTGTAGTTTATATTGGACACCTGTCTTGTGGCAAATGTTCGATACGAGTACTAGTGATTCTATTACGTCACAAACTCGCTACCCTTATCAGAACATATAGAACAAACCTGGCCGCCCGTGGTCAGCAAAGACTTAGCAACCTAATTCGGCAGCGGGGTGCATACTCTTATCCTTTAAAAGAAGATAGAGCAAGTTAAATTGTGACGCCACGTCAAAGAAATGGCATACATAGCGGTCGCCTGTGTGCTGTGCCATATAACACTGTTTGTTATACTCTTAAACGGTGCGAACCCATAGCGCTTGATCTGGCGGAGATCACAGTGTGTACGGGACTGATACACTTTGTCCGCTATGTTGCTAGCTTTGGATGTGCTATTCCATTACGCTTGGCATTTTTTAGTGCCTCTACTACATTATGGTGCTTAACATATGGCTTTGCGTGAGCCAGGAGAGGATATTACCCTCATTCCTGAGAGATTATAGGTCTCTGACCAGATTTTTCAGCAAGAAACTCTCTTTCTTTTATAGAAATCATCAGTTAGCTCACTCCCAAGAGCTAATATAGTTGCTTATCTTATTCCTGAGAGTTGAGTTAATACTTAACCGACTCCCGAAAGCTGATTCATTTTCTCAACCGACTCCCGAAAGTTGATTAAGTTTGTCAACCACAACATTCTAAAAATAGCTGCGTCCCTGTGTAAGTCACAATCTATGTGGAAAGGCATCATGTGATCAACGTAAAATTTAGTTGCAGAGGAATCGAAATAGAACAGCAGCGAAGTGTTAAAGTGTTCTGCAGAAGGTTTCTCATACTAGCCATATAGGGTTTTACCCTGGCCAGCCCAAGCGACTGTACACCAGCACAAACGGAAAACCAAAGGAGAGGTCATAATTAAATATATACATTTGCACTTTATTTAAAGTCTACTACATTGCACACTAATAATCTGCTCTTCCACAACAAAGGTAGGGTGTTGAGAATACACAACTCGCGTATTCAGACCCCTGTGCTGCTTGTAGTAGAGGTATTTAGTGCGCTCTTATACAGTACATACTATCAACAAGATATCAGAGGGTGTGCATGTGGTAGTACCTGCAGGACCAATACGACATTATGTCTCCATGGAGTTTTTTAATTTACTCGAGTACCCTAATAGAAGAAGAAATCTACTTCTTTATGAACATATACAAGCTCACATTGTATCATACTTATGAGTTTAGTGTGCCACGGATCCAATTTCCGTAATGGATAATACAACGTTATGATATCTTAAAGTATATGAACGTAATTTAGTAGCTGGGCAAGTAATTGCCACTGTGGGTTTGCCCACACATTATGTTTATAGATATCTGTTTGAAAAGCATCTCCTTGAGGAGGATTTGGCGTCCTGAAGTCTTTTAACTGTGCATTATGATGCCCAGCGAACATATCTATGATATGTGACCCCAAAAAATTACTATTTTCTTTGGCTAGCTCAAACTGTAGATTACATTTCTAATCAGTGGTCTAAAGCTCTCGCACCGAATTATTAAAGTCGGGGTTAAACCTGAATAATATATCAGGCAATGATTCTTTATTCCTGGTAAATGTTTGATTTTGAAGTAAAACTTTGATGTCGTATCATGCCATTTCGGGAATCGGTTGAGAAACTTAGTCTGCTATCAGAAGTCGGTTAAGTATCAACTCAACTTTTGGTAGTAAATTAAGCAACTTGATTAGCTCTCGGTAGCTCTCGGGAGTGAGCTATCTCTGATAACATAGCTCTCGGGAGTGTGCTAACTCTGATGGCTTCCATAAATCAAAGAGGAATTCTTGCTGTAAAATCTGGCCTGAGACCTGTAGTCTCTTATTTTATACCTAAAGTGTTTGTACTCGTGTTCAGCCGCTTGGGTTGGCCAGGTAAAAACTTCTTATTGTGAGTGTGGGAAACCTTCTGCATAGATACTATTTTGGTTTGACTTCCCTGCGACTTAATCTTCCGCTGATCACATGATTTCTTCCTCATAAGCTGCGACTCTCATAGGGACGCAGCTATTTTTATATTGTTGCGGTTAACAAACATAGTCAACATTTGAGTCAGTTGAGGAAAATATTTAACTCTCGGGAGTCGGTTACGTAAATAACACAACTTTCGAGAGTGAGTTTAAAATCTTGATTAGCTCTCGAGATCGAGTTTACTCCGAAAGTTTCTATAAATTAATGAGGGTTTCTTGATGTAAAATCTGGTCTGAGATCTTTAGCCTCTCAACCCCGGTGTATCGCGGTTGTAGTTTGACAGGAAGTTGTATAGGATACCTGGTTTGTTCTCGATCCATAATCTAGTCAGATGTCTATCGACAGTGGAGGCCGTTCCTTTGTATAGTTTATTGAATGGAAAAGGGTCGGATCACTACTATCGGTACAGGTTTGGATATTAGCAGTAGCCTGACCATTGTTTCTAGTATCATTGGACATATGATTCTTGTTGTTTGAACCTAATTCCACAGGAACTATGTAATCTCTGAGAGTCCGAAATGTTGGATTGATAGATCTGTAGAATTACGGTTTCCAGTCCGTCTACAATATTGAAATGAGATAACACATTGGTTAATCAAATGAGATAACACATTGGTATTTATTTGTATATAATTAATTTAATACAAGTTCTGTTTCAATATTTCCAAAGTGTTCTAAATTCACTTTGATGGCTCTTATAGCCTGAGTATTTGGTATGGCTGATTTACTTGGACCTATCTGAGACATTAGTAGATGTAGGGTATAAACTAAATTTTATTATCTCTGAACTGCTACTGTACTTATAAATTTTGGTTTTCCTGCAAATCATAAAATCCAATGTATTTTTCTTTTTTATCTTCTATTCAGATGGAACTTTACTTCTGATAGCTAATGTATTAACGTGACTCACGTTTTTGTGTTTATCTACAACTTAGTCATGTGTATGGTCATAAATACTTGTACTTCTAGTGAGAATTGTTCAATAAAGTACAACTAGAGGTATGTCCTGTGTGATCGAGGATATTAAGGCTTTTACCAAGAACCAGTCCCGACCATTTTTACACAAGCTACCACTGCTTAAACTGACTTGAATTGTACCCTAGTCTATTGAACATGGGTTTGAACTTAGTAATATTCGTCGAAGTTTACAGATATTGGTTTGGGTACCACTGGCTTTGTTTGCTGTTTGGGCGTATTACGTTCATCGGTGTGTGCTATCGGCCATTATTGAGGAAAAGAACGTTTTGAGTTTGCAGGAGATGTTCTTGAGGCTCTCAGTCTTCAAGCTGCTTATGATCTTGTGGTAGGATATCTCTTAAACTAGTGCATCAGACATTCCAGCCTCGTTATCCTCCTCAGGCCGCTTTTGGCTGTATGAATTCAAACAAACTAATAGTGTTTTACAAAACAAAACAAATTGATATTTTAATGTCGCTCAAAAATTATAGTGGACATACTTTTTGAGACATTTCCTATATTGGCTGTTGCGTGAGATATGTATCATCTAATACGGAGAGTTTGACCCTCATCTACGCATGTCTCCATATGTTAGCCATATCAAACCAGCAGATATTTATCTCAAGAATATATATAGTTCGGTACATGAACTGAACGGTGTCATCAATATAATGACACCATGTTAAAAGCAAAAGAGGCTCCCGCCCTAAGCGGTAGAGCCCTATAGGACTCTCACTAAGAGAGTTAAATAAAGTTACTTCGTATCAAGATATATTCGTCTTACAGGTTATGGGCCTGTTTTTACCCACACGTTAGTAAGTCAAAACTACAACAAGCACTCAACTACACCCTACCCCACCCCCCAAACAACTCTGACCCTCAGATACTACTCCCCCCCCCACACGTCTCACAGATCACTACAGTCAGCTAAACTGACACACGTAATCAAAGATCACACACGTAAACAAAGCTCACACACGTAACACAATGGAGACAATAAATTGGCCTAAAGCTTTCACTTCTCTAGAGGCAGCTAATACCTTCGCTCGGGATTTTTGGCCTCGCATACTTGATATACGACACTCGATTCCGCAAACAACCATTTAGAAGCTATTAACAACGTCATCCGCGAACTACAACTTATGGCTCTACAGCGATTGTACTTGCACATCTCACAATGGCCCGTAGTGAACTATACCACGCCAAGAAATAGAAGAAAGATGTGCAAGCTGACCTAGATAACTACAAACGCCACAACGTGCAACTAAGGAACGAACACAAAGTCCTCTTAGAAAAACACGAGACACTACAGATCGAACACAAACAAATATCAGAACGTCTCACAACAGCACAATCACGTCTCTACGAACAAAGCGAGAAACCTACAGGTAACTTCTTCGCGCTCCACCATGAAGCGCTCGACACTATAGGCGCGCTCAAAGCATCAACTACCACAGATGATGAACCATCTTCATATGCCGAGAGATATGGTATCTCTGCTATTGACCCAGATGTTCCACTCTCTGACTGTCCTAAATATAAGGACAACTACAACCGCACCAAGCTTGAAAACTGGGAGAACTTCGGTAATTGGCTCATGGGTATCAAAATGAAGCTTGCCTACTTCGGAGGGCTCCATAGACTACACCCCAACTGCGAAGAAATCTTTGGCGTCGACGCACTTGTTGATGCGCGCTGCCGACGCATAATGATCGATTCGATCAAAAAGGAACTTGTCAACACGGTATACAAGAATCACTATGTCAAACGACCATCTGAATTCTTTAATTACATATGCATTACTAACAACACCGGCAGTCACGGCCGTTTCTGTGACGCAATGAAGCGCCTCACATCATCTATGGCAACTGGATCTACCGAAAAGAGTATGGAGCAGTTGAAGGAAATCCGCCAAGGTCTCCTCGATGTTGGTGAACACATCCCTGACAAGTACTTGATCTGCGCATTGCTATACAGCCTGAGCGATGAATACCAATTACTTCGTTCAGCAATATTCGCTATGGACACTGATAAACTCGACATCAATGAGGTCTACCGGCTCACGCTCAAGTATGAAGGGGATCACCAGCGTGGGCGGCTGCACTACTTACTGCCGAAGCAGATACTATTGCCCACCCTGTCGACCTTCAATTCTGCACTCCTTCTGTAAAAGGAAAAATGCGACGACGAACAGTCCGGCACACCAGCAAGGACAATGACACACTCCCACCTGTAGGTACGGTCTTCCATGCAGATCGCCACACCGGCCTGCCCATCACCCCCAGCGGCTACACCTGTGATATCAAATTTGTGGATGCCAACAGCGGCTACACGTTGGTCTATAACTTCAAACACAAAGATGACGCCACCGGTGTACTTGACCAATTCTATACAGAGATTGACAACGACAATCCTCGCTACACTACGCGAGCTTAAATGTGATCGAGGTGGTGAATTCGTTTCCCAAGCATTCAACAAAGTCAATACCCAGGAACATATTCAGATACTACACGTTCCCACAGCCACCCCTGCACTCCACGCGTGCTATCGGCGTACTTCATGATATCATGCTCAGCGACATGAAACAAGCTAACATGCCGGACAACATGTGGGGCGAGGCCATTCAGTTTGCAGCATTGAAGAAATCTGTACACAACAACAAAATCAACAAGGATCAAAAGTCTTCATTGGAAGTTTTCTGGGGATTCGAACTCACTGAACGAATCAAGCACATACACCCTTTCGGTTGTCAAGTTGCGTTCATCAATTAGTCACGCGACGGCAAACTGGACGACCGCGCCAATATCAGTGTATACTTAGGCCACGACCGCCAGTCCAAATACTATGACGAATGCCGGATCCTCAACCTAAAGACGGGTGAAATATGTCACTCTCGTGATGTTAAATTCAATTACCACGTCTTTCCAAAATGGACTATGGTAGGCAACACCCCAGTTCCACACTTTGATACTGCTGTCACTGACATACCCACCATTCAGGAATTAACATTAGCGCTTCACCCGGATAGGTTCCCTGCCAGCAACACACACATCACCACAACAACCTCTATTGGTACACAAACAGACGAGATCGTCAACCCAGCCACAACAAATGACAATAATCTGCGGGATCTCTCAACTGCACTGCTACCTACCCCAATAACACACTCCATACCACGCCCACTTCTGCCTACGCCCAACACAACAATTCCATCGCACACTGCGCCAGCTATGGAAGATAGTATCAACACCGCATTACAACCACATATTCAGCGTCACCCAAAATCCCGTACACTTTGTGGATTATTACTCGAGTCCCGCCAGAATACAGGAACATTCAACAAACCCCACCTACCCAATAACATGCGGATGACACGCCAACGCGCCCGCCAAAGTTGACCACCACGGACCTACTGGACATAAGCCCAAAACTCACAGGGTAACCGAGAACGCTTAACTTCTCCGCCTGAGAAACAATAACTATACGTTATGCAAAAAGATAGAAGAGTATCAGGTTGGAGACAGAGTTTACACCCGTCAACGTAATTCCGATGCTACTGTATTATCATCTAAATGGATAGGACCATATATAATCTCTGTAGCTGACGTTAAAAGTGGAACCTATGAGGTTAATAAACCCGACGGTTCCAGTACTTTAAATATAGGCACTAGTCGGATTCCGACTACTGAGATTATTCTCGCAAGAAGACATGACTCTAATGCCCCTCTTGATCGTTCTGAATTTAAAGACATTATATGGAGAACGGATAAGGGAGGCTATACATATTATCATACACGCTTTATAGACGGTACAATCGCTGAGTTGACTTCATATGCTTTCGATAATCAAGACTATTTAAAAGCCGTTAATCGAAAATGGCGTAAACGCCTGCATAAGTCACAAGCTGAAAAAGATAGCATGTTTCCATCGTCTGAAGGCACGGAAGTTAAAACTTACCCGCCTACAGCATTTATCCCGAGCTTTAATGCTCACCTTTCGTATGTGCTTAAGACACTGAAGCGTAAGAAACGTCCAGTCGACCACCACGGACCTACTGGACCTAAGCCTAAAACTCACAGGGTAACCGAGAACGCTTAACTTCTCCGCCTGAGAAACAAAAACTATACGTTATGCTACTAAATGTTTTCGACCCGTTTTTTTCCTTTCTCGCTTTTTGACCCATAATCAGCTTGAGTGAACAGCTTGCTTCTCCTGGGTCTCAAAGCTGGGTGGGGGCTGTGTAATAGCCGGGCCTCCACATTAGACTCTTATGTTATAAACGTACTCTTAAGCAGTATGTAAACTATAAAGGTACTCTTAATAGTACGAGGAACTTAAATTTCCTAAATGGTTTTTAACGGTTTTATTAATTAATACCTTTTCCATTTTACAGATCAGATATTTGGACAAGGCCATTAAAAGGCCCCAGTAAAATACCAAAACATAGGATTTGGTCTAGTTCTATTAATAGAACTATATTTACTTTCCAAATCTATTTAAATCTGAATACTTCGGTAGCAAGATGGCTCAACCGAACATAGGTTTCTAAGGACTATTAGCGTTGCTTAGTTTATCCTCCGTTCAGCCAACCAGATGTGCCAGTCTGATGAAGGCTAAGTCGGTAATTCTTGATAAGTGGCAAGTTATTGGTTAATGCAATAACTATGGACATCAGGAGTATTTTTCTTTTTTCTTTTCTTTTTGTCTAAAGATATGATTTTATGAGTCTCTCGGATTCGCCCCAACGAAACGTACCATAATTTCTAATAGGGCGACAACGAAACATACCATGGTTTCTAATAGAGCGACAACGAAACACCAAATAAAATTCTTCGGCGAAAGCAGTACTGAGAAGATTATATATAGGCAATGTCTCAGCCTCACAATCCTTCAGAGTATTGCTGTTTTCACGAGGCAAACCTAACTTTACTAAAAGACTAATTATGTATATTTTGCTTTAATTTCATTCGATCTTTAGAAGACTTTATTACGTTTAACTACTCTAAGACGTCAATATTGCCTTAACAGACCGAATCTTACACCCCCAATTGCCGATGCTGTCTCTGACGCCGACTATGCTTCCTGCCCGGACACCAGACGCTCCACAACAGGCTCTATCCTACGAATCAACCACATACTCGTAGCGTGGAAGTCTCATCGGCAGAAAACCATCTCTACTAGGTCTGTGGAATCAGAATATTTTGCTGCGTCCGAGGCCGCCAAACATATTCAATGGCTTCGAAATACTCTCGAGGAACTCGGCTTCTCTCAGCAGACCCCTACCGTATTACAGTGCGATAACAAATCAGCGATACATGCCATTACATCCACTGGTCCTACGAAGCACCTTAAACACATCGATGCTCGCGTACAACATATCAAGGAACTCCAGGAAAGCGGGGTCATTCGAGTCGAATACGTCACTTCCGCGGATAACCTAACAATATTTAACCAAAAACACTGCACGTCCTACACACTCGCGACATACCCGCACGCTATTGCGAGAGGTTCCGCCCGAGCCCGAGACTGTCTCCGAGAATCAATCCAGGGGAGACTTAGCATAAGATTTCATTCTCTTGATTCTACATCTACTGTTTTCAGGGGAGTGTTAGCCATATCAAACTAGCAGATATTTATCTCAAGAATATATATAGTTCGGTACGTGAACTGAACGGTGTCATCAATATACTGACACCATGTCAAAAGCAAAAGAGGCTCCCGCCCTGAGCGGTAGAGCCCTATAAGACTCTCACTAAGAGAGTTAAATGAAGTTACTTCTTATCAAGTTATGTTCGTTATCCTCCCACTTATCGGATACTGTATATCTTTGCTGTATCAGATATGTATGAACCGGATGCGGGACAAAAGATCGCCGAAGTTTGCAAACAAACAGTAATAACTTATGACGCAGTGTATAGTTCCAACTAGGTGTAGTAAAAAAGGTGAATGTCCTAATTTAAATCATTTACCTAATTTACTAGAAAACCGGGAAGGTCGCGAGTTTTATATTTGTCTTGGGTGCCAATCAAATGGTACTAGGCCAGCACTATTGCCCAGCGCGGAAAGTTCAGAGAAACCCGCTCAGAAGTGGTGATCACAGCGTGAAATGTTCAGAGAAGTCCTCCCAGGAGCGGATCGTGCGGACGAAATTGAAGTACTCGCGACACTTCCAGTTTTGTAGTAAAGTAGGTGAATGACTCAACCAATCAACCTAGTTCTATATTAGTTGGTTGAGTCATTCATCTACTTTACTACGGAGGTGTTTATCCGCAATTTGTTTTTCGTGCCATCTGTAGACCACTAAGAACTTGGTGCCCTTTCAATATTTTTTTCTTTTCTTCGTCTAAGGATCGTGCGAACGAACTTGAAGTACTCGCGACACTTCCAGTTTTGTAGTAAAGTAGGTGAATGACTCAACCAATCAACCTAGTACTAGATTAGTTGATTGAGTCATTCATCTACTTTACTACATAGGTGTTTATCCGCAATTTGTTTTTCGTGCCATCCGTAGACAACTAAGGACTTAGTGCCCTCTCAAAAAAAAAAAATTTCTTCTTCTAATATATTCATAGTTTTTCATCACCCGCAGGGTCATAAACGCTGTTATGCGTATTTTGTACGTGAATTGTGGAATTCTGTCAAAACTGGAAATTTCGGAATATACTGAGGACTTTCAAATAGCAGACATCCCCATATCTGATGGACCAATGAATATTTATCTTTAGAATCTTCAATTGTATTGGTCAATTTTGGAATATACGACTTAGATAGTTATAATGTCGTTAATTCGTACTGCATTCTTATACTAAATACTAATTTAGGACTACTGCCACTGTCGTATTTAACTGTGATTACTTCTATGAAGTGTGGCGAGGAGAACGGGTCTAAAACGGCGAAGCCTACTGAGCTCGGCTCACCCTCTGTGGGTAGTCATATTTACAAGTTATTTAATTGTTCTTTGTGGTGTGTAGAACCCCTATATACGTATGGTGTATTCTAATATTCACTTAATTTTCAAAGGTATGCTTATATGTGAGTAAAATATGGATGCTCGCGATTGCGATGTGTGTTAAAAACAGCGTTGATGTATTTTACCGCAGAATGTAGTACTACACATATAACTTCAAATATTTTACTTTATCCCTGACAGCCAATACTCCATTGCGTTGC